TATTGTGTACAGATAAAACACAACAAAAGAAAGTATCTGATGGATTTTCAAAATGTCAACAGAAGAGAATCTCTGGAGCTCAGGGTTGAACTGAGGGGTCCTTGGTGCTCTCTTTCTTGCAGACGTTTCATGACCCAACTAGGTAACATCATCAGTGCAAGAAGGTAGTGGAGCTTGCAGCATGGAGGAGGAGGAGATGGTGGACTATAGGGTCCTTGGGGGTCTCTGAGCTTGGTGGTTTTCTTGCAGACGTTTCATGACCCAACTAGGTAACAACATCAGTGTTAATGTGTTTGGGGTTTGCTCTCTGTTTAAGACTAGAACACATCCTCTCAATAGCCAGAATCCGGATAAGCAGGGATTAACCCCAAACAATCAAGCAGAAAACAGTCCCCTAATCAAGGAACTACCAGAAAGAACAATCGTATCTCCAGCTAACACTGGCAAAAACAGCTACTGTAAATAAACAGAGAGCAAATCCCACCCTTAATCGCACTGATGTTGTGACCTACTCGGGCCATGAAACGTCTGCAAGAAAACCTCTAAGCTCAGAACGCAAGGAGGACTCCGCTTTCAAAATAAGACGGCGATCCGATCGAGGCAATACTCTGAAATAAAGGCATGAAGCAAACCGCCTGGAAACTGAACGATCGTCCCAGCGTTCTTCATCATCACGAGTTGGAAGGGACCCGGGAGGTCATCTAGTCCAACCCGCTGCTCAAGCAGGAGACCCTGGCCTAGGCCGTTTCAGACAAATGGATGTCCAATCTCTTCCCGCCCAGGTGGGTCCCTAAATGCTGGACTTCCCCACTAGCATCTCCTGAAAGCCTCAAGTCAAACACCGGTTTTGACTTTCGGAGTCAAAGGACCTCAGAACAATAAGGCTAAACTGATTCTTTCCAACTGATGGAAAACAGACATACACACACACATACATACATTTTGCCCAGGAGGCTCCAGGCAGACCCGGGTCGAAGCTTTCCTACCCCCCTCTCCCTCCCCGGGGCAAATTCCATCTTCCACCCCGAGACCCCCGTTTGCAGACCGGGGGGGCCTCCCCGAGGGTCGTCTGAACCTCCTGCCCGGGGTCTCCGCCTCGCCCACGCCCGTCTCCCGCGAATGCACCGGCTTTCCTCCCCCACCCCTACCCAGAGGGGTCCGTGGCTGGCCGGGAGCCTCACCTGCAGCCCTCGGGGAGCCCAGCCAGACGGCGACCAGGAGACGGAGCGAAGCCGCTTGCAGGAGCCTGTCCGGCGCCATGGCCGCGCCGGGGAAGGTCTCTCGCCGGCCAGGCAGGCTCCCGAGCCGTCTCCGGAGGAGGAGGAGGAGGAAGCGGCGGCGGGCAGGGCTTCTTCCCAAGCGCCACCCCAACCACGGGGCGGCGGCGGCGGCGGCGGCGGAGATTCCAGGGCGCGCCGAGCTGGGTTTTGCAGCCCTTCGTGGGAATTGCGTCCTGTTACCCAGGACCCAGAGTTGTTGTTGTTGTTGTTGTTCTCCTCCTCCTCCTCCTCCTCTCTGCAAACCCCACTCCCTTCTAACACTGATAACATTACCCAGTTTGGTAATGAAACGTCTGCAAGACAACCGGCTCAGAGAGCACCCAAGGGACCCCACAAGTTCAACCCTGAGATTCTCTTCTATCGATCCTTCTACAAGTTGATCACCAGATGGCACTCATCCCCCAAGAACCAGCCCTTGCCCAGCCGCTTGATCGGAAGGCTGCCACTCACAAGTGTCGGCATGTGACGGATTCCATGCATTTGCCCCTTAAATCAACAGCACGCAGAGCAATCCTGATATACAGAACTGTCGTGGGGCAAATAAAAATAATAATAATAATAAAAGCGAACTTAAAAGGCAGATAAAATGGACAGGTTTGCATATCAGAGAGAAGTCAGCGAACAAATGCAATCAGTCCCTCGAACGAAACGAAGTCGGGGTCTTCCCTCCGGGGAACCCACGTTGTCTGGATCTGCCTCGAACATCCTCGGCCATCTGATTATTTCATTTCAGTGGTACATTTGATAGCAGTGTTCCAATATCTCAGGGGTTGCCATAAAGAAGAGGGAGTCAAGCTATTTTCCAAAGCGCCTGGAGGCAGGACAAGAAGCAACGGGTGGAAACTCATCAAGGAGAGAAGCAACCTGGAATTAAGGAGAAACTTTCTGACAGTTAGAACAATTAACCAGTGGAACAACCTGCCTCCAGAAGCGGTGAATGCTCCAACACTGGAAGTTTTTAAGAAGAGACTGGACAGCCATTTGTCCGAAATGGTATAGGGTTTCCTGCCTGAGCAGGGGGTTGGACTAGATGACCTTCAAGGTCCCTTCCAACTTTACTATTATTATTA